AACTCGACCACCTATACGAAAACGAACTACAAATATATTACATAAAAAAATTTCTTCACAAATTATTTGTCAAGATATCGAAGATGAAACACCATTTGTTAAATTGGTAAATTTCTTTCTTTTTTTTTTTTTTAAATTCATTTTTCTTATATACAAGATTAATTAAAATTATTTAGTTTTCAAATATTCCTGAATTTATTTCTAAACATTATCAACGTACGGATGCTCAACGAACTGACGAAGAAAAAATTGATCTTTATACTAATCAAGGGTAAATTCATTTTTTTAACTATCATATTAAAAGATTAGAACGGATAAAGGCATTTTTTACTCTCAACAGAATTGATATTTTTTTCTATCGATATGCAATAAGACATGATATCTTCGGTTTTGTTGAAACGTACATTGATTGATAGAGTCAAGTATGTTGATTATGAGTATCAGTATATTAAGTATTGAAAGTATTTTAATAAACAACAAAAGTAATCCTTTTTCAGCTTTTTAATAGCTACAACAACGTAGTTTACTCGATTGTGAACTATAAACTCTGTTTGGCAACATGACTAGCTATAAAATTTCAGATTATCAGTCAAAAATCTACTTTTCTTAATCTCGAACGAAAACGAGAATTGTCGAGATCTCATCATAGAAGATAAGAAACAATGAGTACATCATTTGCAATCTTCTACTCATAGGTCAGACACAATGGTACGTCAAGGTTCTTGAGCGTTCTCTGAAAACATTTCCAGAATCGTTTTTAGTGTTAATAATAACTTTTTTTTTTTGATTCCTTTATTCGTTTCGATGCGATTATATTATCTATGTGATCTACCACAGAAATGCATGTTCCGATTATGTACGAAACCTGCATACATAGGTTGATTGATATGTTGAACCAATGGTAAAACTGGTTTTCATTGAAATCCTTACCATTGTGGAAAGGTTTTTCAGAGAACTTTCAAAAATCTTGACGCATTATATTGTTTTTTTGGCTTTTAAGTAGAACATTGAAAATGGCATATTCAGTCCAAATTTCACGTTAGTTTTACGCTTCTATGATGAGATTTTCAAACTGCCCTTTTTCGTTCGAGATACGGAAAAGCAGATTTTGGACCGATCATGTTGCCAAACAGCTTTTAATAGTTCTTAATTGAGTAAACTACATTGTTGTAGATATTAAGAATCATTTTTCATGGTATTAGAATAATCAATAGAGAAGATATATGGGCAAAAAACTGAATGTATGTAACTAAAGGAGCATCTGAAAAAGGTCTATTTTACATTCTTATTAAAAAGCTTTGTGTACTTAATATACCAATACTTGTAATCAGCATACATGACTTTATCAATTAATATAAGTTTCAACGGAATCGAATATATAAAGTTTTCCAGAGATCTCTGTGGGAAATCACAGATCTAGAAAACTTTTTAGTCAACTGTACAAAAACTAACGTATGGAATATCATGCCTTGTTGCAAATTTTTGTTGGTAGACAAAAAGATGACTCTATCCATCCTCATTCTTTGTTTGTATTTATCTTAAAAGTGCTCAATGGTATGGACCATTGCAACTACCACCACAACCTGAACATTATAAAATATCTATTTCAAAGTAAATAAAAAAAAAAAATATTTATTGAATTTTTTTAACTTTTCTTCGAATAATAATAATAATAGATCATTAAAAAATGAAAAAAATATATCAAGAAAATCTCGTACTAATCTTCTGCATAAAGAATCAACAAAAACTACAGCATTTTTAAATAAAATTGGTGTTGAATTAAAATCATGTTCAAATTCAAATACAAATGATTCATTTTCTAATAATAGAAATAATTTTGATTTGAATAAATTAAATCAATCTGATCTTATACATGAATGTCAATATTTAACAATAATTTCATTTGAAATTTTTTGTCATACAAATGAACCATATGCATTTGCACTTGATAAAGATGAAATATTTTCAATATTTTATACTCTAGCTTATGAAACAATTAATGGATGGAAAATTCAATCATCTGTTCTTATATCAACTCAACATTTACGTATAACAAAATCAAATATTCTTGAAAAATCTTTTCATTCATTAGAAAATAAAAAAATTGAATTTGTTAAAAATGAATTAGAATTAATTGAAAAATTTTCAAAAATTATACAACAATCAGATCCTGATATATTTATTTGTTATGATATGAAATTATCTTTATATTATTTAATAAAACGTGCTAAATTAAAATATAATTTAGATTTATTAATTAAATTTAGTCGTATACCTGAACAACAAGATAATATAACACGTAGTCGAAGTCATATGGCAGCTAATGGAGAAGATTTACCAGTTATAGTTGGAAGAGTATTACTTGATTTATGGAGAATTTTAAGAAGTGAAATAACATTAAATATTTATACATTTGAAAATGCAATTTATCATGTATTAAATGAACGTGTACCATATTATGATATAAGTTTACTTTCAAAATGGTTTATTGATGAAGGTAAAAAAATGATTTTCTTTTGAAAAAGAAGAAGAAGAAGAAGAAGAGTTTTTTTAGGACTCAATCCATCATTTGGTTTAAGAGATTTTGTAACTTTATTAGATTATGGTTGGACACGTTCAACGGGTAATTTTCGATTGATTTATGAATTAGATTTAATTAATAAAACATCGGAATTTGCACGAATTTATGGAATTGAATTTTATCATGTAAGAATTTTTTTTTCGCTACATTTATTAAAAGAATATTCACAATACACCTAACTTAATTCAACCTTGCTTAAGAATTCTACTGAGTGGAAAA